AAAAGAGTGAGACTCTGTCTCAAAAAAAAAAAAAAAAAAAACCTTAAGCTGAAAGAATTAAAAACAATTATGATGACTGCTATGCTTCATGGTCACATAGCTAGACAAGACTAGCTCCAAGCCCTGTTCTCTTTATTATTTTTCTTTTTCTTTTCTTTTTTTTTTTTGAGCTTCTTGTACCTGGATATCTAGAGTTTTAGCAAGGCCTGGGAAATTTTCCTCTATTATATCTTCAAATAGTTTATCCAACCCTCGTGTGTTTTCTTCTTCACCCTCAGGGATGCTAAACCCTATTCTTTACCTGACTGATGATCAGAACCACCTGATAAGATTTAAAACACACATCCCCATGACCTACTCCATACCTACTCAATCAGAATTACATAAAGTGTGCTGGGCGTGGTGGCTCATGCCTGTAATCCAAGCACTTCAGGAGGCTGAGGTGGGAGGATAGCTCGAGACCAGGAGTTCAAGAGCAGCCTGGGCAACATAGCGAGACCCCATCTCTACAAAAAAATTAATTAAATTTTAAAAAATAAAAAATAAATTAACCAGGCATGGTGGCACATGCCTGTAGTCCCAGCTACTCGGGAGGCTGAGACAGGAGGATCACTGGAGCCCAGGAGTTTGAGGTTGCTGTGAGCTAGGCTGATGCCACGGCACTCAAGCATGGACAATAGAGTGAGACTCTGTCTCCAAAAAAAAAAAAAAAAAGGAAAAGAAAAAAGTTCTCTAGGTTATTCTGACTATTAGCCAGTTTTAGGAAACAGTGCCATCATACCATCTCTGCTCTGTGAAATGAAAACAAAGTGTCCGAGGAATGGAACATCAAGCATCGTTAGAAAATAATTAATAATTTCTGCAGTAGATTTCGTTTGGACTCTAAAAAGCTTACAGTCTTATAGAACAAAGGTTAGATGTAGAAAAATAAGTTTAATACAAGTTAGACTGTAGTTTAAGAGAGAGACATAGTACTGTTGGAATGCGAAGAAAGATGAGATTACATTGTGGAGGAATTAAAGAAAACTGTAGAAAGAAAACTTTATAGAAGAGAGGGCATTTGGAAACTACATCTTGAAGGATGGGAAAACTGGGCCCAGCAGAGATGCAGGAGGAACTGAAGCCGATGGAAAGAATGTGCGCAAAAGCATAAAGCTGGGAAAGTGCGGGACATGTTTAGGAAATGGCAAGTAATTCCCATGCAATACACACCCAGAAAGTTGCACTGAATATTCTGGGTGAGGTTTCTGTTTGTAAGGAACAGCAACCCATTAAAGTCAGCTCCAGGGGAGTTACCATGAGGACGTAGCAGGCAGTCTTACAGATGTGCAAGAACGGGGTGAGAACTGGAAAGGCACAGGCCAGGATTATTCTCTCCACCTCTCAGGAGCCTCTTTGTCCCATCTCTGCGCCACCTTGAGTCTATGCCACTCTTCTTTCACTCTCGATCGGTTTCCTGCTCACTCAGTCTACACGTGGGGTCCTCCAGCCCTGTTTTGTGCCATAGCCTTTCAGTTCTAGCTCCCACGGGTGACTTGACAACAGCCTCTGTGTCTGTTAACTCTAATTACTGAGACGGAATCTCAGTAGCTGAGCCCAGCCTTTGCCCTGGTTCTCTGCATGATATATACAAGCCCCTGGTCCAGTCAGCTGTATTTTTTTTTTAAACATACCCAGACCCTTTGTGGCATAATCAGCTGTATTTAGAAGAATGGAGAAAGGAATCCCATGCAAACAGGTGGTTCTGTCCAGAGGTGTTAGCCAAACTGTTAAGCTTGAAGAGAAAGTTATTGTATATGTCTAGTGTTTAGAGATAACGTAGAAAGAGGACCTTGAGGGCAGAGACTACAAGATAACATGGAACCAGGTAGTACAGGCTTGAAATGCTTGGTCAGGCAGTCTGAGAGTTCTTTAGTAGTCAAGACAAGTTGGTAAAGGTTTCTGGAATGGGCAGAGGTAATACTGAAGGAAAGATTAACTGTTTTTTAAGATGGGAAATGTCTATAGAGGATGGCTGAAAACAGTAATATCAAACAAGAAAGTGAAGAGAGAGTTGAATGGCAGAAATAAGAAAAGAAGGGATAGGTTGGTCCGAGTGCAGTGGTGTTTACAACTAATCGATCGCAGCCAGTTACAGATTCCTTTCTTCCTTCTCCACTCCCACTGCTTCACTTTTAACCAGCCTTAAAAAAAAATGGACTGAATGTGTGAGGTGGAGCTGTGGTTTAATTACTGAAAATTAATTACCTCGAAGGAGTTGTTGGTTTTATGCCCTATACTAACTCTCGGAGAATGTGTTCAACATGCAGGTAAAATGCAGGACTGAGGCGCTGGAAGGCAAGCAGACTGTGATAAAAACTTTAGGAATCATTGGCATAGAAGTTAATCATTGTAGCAGTGGATGTGGACGATGTCATCAGAACAGAAAGAAAAAAGCTAAAATCAGAAATTTAAGGGTTGGAGGTGAAAGGGCAACCACCAAAAGAAATGCAGAAGCAATGAGCAGAGAGGAGAAGATTGATCAATAGACCATAAAGTGATGACAGTCTGGGAGAAGATGTTTCAGAAAGTTAAGAGTAGTCAACAAGTATCAGATGCTGCTGTGAGGCTGAAGTTCGAAGAGGGGTAAGTGTTGCAGGGGAAAGCCACAGGATTGGGCAAGCTCGAAGTTTACTCGTGAATTTAGCAATTTAGATAAGGACAGAAATCAGAGTGCAAGGAGTGACATAGTATGGACTTGAATTGAGTCTCTGGTGGATAGAGTTTATTGTACTATTCTTGAACCTTTTCTGTAACTTTGAATCTATTTCAAAATAAAATATTTTTAATTTAATGGAAATTGGGAAACAATATAAGAGATACGTATAAGACATGGTATATTTGGAGAAAGGTCCTGGTGGTAATAGGACGACAAGATGGAGAAGTTTGTCTTAGTTTTTAAGAAAGGGCTATTTGTCACAATAGTGCGAAGGCATGAAGAAAGAAATAAGAGGACCTTTAGGTGGACCAGTCTTAGTATCTGTCACAGAGGAACATGGTTATCTATAGCGTAAGAGAGGTCAAGATAGAGCTTGAAAAAGATGGAGAAGGTTGGAAAAACTCCTCTATGTGATAAATAAGAAAGAAAGAGGGAAAGGCGTTACCAAGATTTAGAGCCTAGCAGTGCGGTGGTACATGCCGGTAGTCCCAGCTACTTGAGGAAGGAGAGTCACTTGAGCCCAGGAATTTAAGGTTGTAGTGCTCTATGATCACACCTGTGAATAGCCACTGTACTCCAGCCTGCGAAGCATAGCGAGACCCCCATCTCTACAACAGAAAAAGATATAGAGCCTAGCTGAGACTAAGTAGTTAAATTGTAGAAGAGCACTCAGCCCAATTTCATGTCACAACAGCAGGCAGCTTTAGCCATTGGCAAAGGCACTGCTTTTCCCTGACCTCCGAAATCACTTCTGTGTAATCCTGCCTTTGTTTCTGGTACAAACCAGAATTTACCCAGGTTTTTAATTATGGTTTCTGCTATTTAACATAATACAATAGAGAAGCATTTTTCACTTTAAAGAGACTTTTATATAATAGATTTTCCTTTCTTTTAAAATGTCACTTAAAGTATTTTTATAATTGTGGTATCTAATTTCAAATACTTGGGATTCTCTTAATTTGAAAGGTGCTGGCTGACGGATTCCTGATGATTGGGATCGATGGCTCAGAAGCAGCAGATGGATCTGACTGGTTCTGTTATCATGCAACCTCTCCTTCTATTTTCCCTGTCGGTTTCTGTGAAATTAACATGATTGAACTTACTCCACCCAGAGGTACTTCATCCTAATATGAACACTGGACTTTAATCCTTGCTTTCGTCTTACGTGGTATCTGTTAACAGCATTTAACACAGCCCTAAATTTTCTTGCTGTGTGAATACATACATAGTATGTGTGTGTATGTATAGATAAACATACACATACATAGAAGAGCTGTGGGGTGCTCTAAAAACAAAGCACTGTATTCCAGCTAGGTTTAATAAATTAGTATAGAATTTTTCCTGAGCATCTGTACATTTTATAGTATGAATTGGTGTTCTTAAACCCTGATGAGACAGTAATATAGGCTCAATAGGCTATTGTATTGACAAACTTTTTTTAAAAAATATTAATAGATACTTTAGCCTTTGAGGGAAAGAAGTTTCTATCTTTGGATTACCAGGTGGCCTTTTAAAAGGAGTCCTATCTTATTTTAACTATGATGGCTTCACCAGTGATTTTCCTAATTTCAGTATTTGAGCATTGGGGTTTTCTCTAAGAAAAGAAGGGCAGGGAAGCTAAAACTAAGGTCTATAAAAATAATATTTGCTCTCAGCGAGTTTTCTTTCTTGCAAAGAAAGAAAAATATCACTCCAAAGTATTAAATACTAAGCTGTTCTAAAGCCTAGGATTGAAAAAAACAAAAGTCTATCCTTATAGTAAATAGAGGAGAAGAGTCAACTTTTGTATTAGAGTAAGTAGGCACACCAGTGTGTCTAGAAAAGGGGGAAATTTTTTTATAACGTGTAATTGTTGCACTTAACAGTATTAGCATGTGTTAAAAGTTGATCATATAACCTAAAAGCTGAGATTTGTGTACTGAGTTACTTTCTGTCTGCATTTTAGGATTATGTTAATTTTAAATGAATTGCTACTTAAACCACTTGTGTTTTTTAGGTTACACAAAACTTCCTTTTAAATGGTTTGACTACCTCAGGGAAACTGGCTCCATTGCAGCACCAGTAAAACTATTTAATAAGGTAAATTTAAATGACAGCATAATGATTATGTGGGGGGTTTTCGATGCCTCGTAAGTGCAAATCATTGTTGATCAAAATGTCTTTGACTTATGTTAGAATTTCTTAGCAGACATTAATATAAGCAAACATACAGTAATAAAACGATGTAGCTGGTCTGAGTGCAGTGGTGTTTACAACTAATTGATCACAGCCAGTTACAGGTTTTTTTGTTCCTTCTCTACTGCTTCATTTGACTAGCCTAAAAAATAAATAAGACAGTATATTAATAAATATTTTCTTAGGCATCAAAGCTTGTTTCCAGATTATGTTTCCTTTTTTTTTTTTTTTTTTGAGACAGAGTCTCACTCTGTTGTCTGGGCTTAGAGTGCTGTGGCGTCAGCCCAGCTCATAGCAACCTCAAACTCCTGGGCTCAAACGAATCCTTCTGCCTCAGCCTCCCAAGTAGCTGGGACTACAGGCGTGCACCACCATGCCCAGCTAATTTTTTTTTTTCTGCTAATTTTTTCTATTTTTAGTTGTTTGGCCAATTTCTTTCTATTTTTAGTAGAAACGGGGTCTCGCTCTTGCTCAGGCTGGTCTTGAACTCCTGAGCTCAAACGATCCACCCACCTCAGCCTCCCAGAGTGCTAGGATTACAGGCATGAGCCACCGTGCCCACCCTATGTTTCATTTTTAATGTAGTGAAATAGAAATGAATACTTTTCCTAACTAGTTTCTTAAATGCTTCACCTTTGTACTATGTTTAGTTAAAGAATTATTTGGGATTTATGCTTTGACTGTGCTGCTTCCGTTTTTTGATTTCTTAGTAATAGTGGAGTTGTGCATTCTTTCTTCTTTACACCAATGTCGATGTTCTGCTTCTCCATGTCAGGATGTTCCAAATCACGGATTTCGTGTAGGAATGAAATTAGAAGCAGTAGATCTCATGGAGCCACGTTTAATATGTGTAGCCACAGTAACTCGAATTATTCATCGTCTCTTGAGGATACATTTTGATGGATGGGAAGAAGAATATGATCAATGGGTAGACTGTGAGTCCCCTGACCTCTATCCTGTAGGGTGGTGTCAATTAACTGGATATCAACTACAGCCTCCAGCATCACAGTGTAAGTTGGTATACAGAAAAGGTGTCCTTTTGTAAAAATCAGCAATTCTCCAGAGGACTATCTCACATAAATCATCTTGTGAGCTCACAGGACAAGAATATACCTAAGTCTGATTGGTTGCCAGGTAAGATACTAAGACTGAACACCAATATCACAGAATCAGACCATGTGTACCATGGCAGTGTGAACTCAGTATCAGTTACATAATAACTATGGAAACACAACAGTCACTGAATTAAACTAGACTTTCTGTTTCAGTAAGCTTAAAATTACAGACTAAAAATTTATTGGCATATAATAAGTGCCGTTGAGTAAATAGTGGAATCCGTCTGATATTGAGGCCCATGGTTTTGTAGGAATAAGTACCCTTATTTTCAAAGCATCATGTACTTTCTATAAGGATAATAGTCTCGGTAAAAGATAGTTCATCTTTAAGTTGTATCTAAAATTGTAAGCAATTATCTGGTACCAATTTTCCCTTTTTATTTTTCAGCATCAAGAGAAAGCCAATCAGCATCATCAAAACAGAAGAAAAAGGCTAAGTCCCAGCAATACAAAGGACATAAGAAAAGTGGGTCACCGCATGGTGTTCACATATATTTTCTAATTGTTAACCAATTGGGTTACAGTATTCTTGCACAGAAAATGATATCTCTTGTGAGAACTGATGATTGTGCATTGTGTATTATGCTTAAAGGTGCAGTATGCCATAAAAGGCAAACCTTTTCAATAATGAGAAATACTTACATTTTAATTGACAGGAGAAATGATTACCATGGTATTTAAAGCATACATGGTAAAGAATAGAGCCTATGAATGATTCTTGAAATAATATGTAAACCTACTAAAAGTTAATCCTTTTTGAAAAACTTTATTTTACTTATTTAAAAAAGCAGATGTTTGATACTTACAGTAAACTTGGAGCCTAATAAACCCATCCTTCTTACAAAGCAAAACTCTCTTTCTAGAATAATACTTGTAAGAAATCCAGGTTGAGGGCTAACAAAATCAGGCTTAAGCAGATTTTTCTAAATATGCTTTCTGTGTTATACTTCACTTTACAGTGAATGATTGTTGGCATTAATAGCCAAAGCAAAAGTAATATAAAATTTCATTCTGAGATAACGTTTTTTGTTTTGTGCGTTTTTTTCTTTTTTTGAGACAGGGTCGCATTCTCTTGCTCTGTCATTCAGGCTGGAGTGCAGTGGCTTGATCATGGCTCATTGCAACCTCTAATTCCTGGGCTCAAGATCCTCCCATCTCAGCCTCCTGAGTAGCTGGGAGTACAGGCGTGCACCACCACACCCAGCTTATTTTTTGTAGAGATGGGATCTTGCTATGTTACCCAGGCTTGTCTCGAACTCCTGGCCTCAGACGATCCTCCTGCCTTGGCCTCTCAAAGTGCTGGGATTACAGGCATGAGCCACTGCACCCAGCCTGTTACTGTTTAAAGGAATCTTTAAAATTAAAAGGTACACTGGAGGATTAAAACTGAAACAGCTTTTTCCAGCTGACTTACCAAATATGTGTAAATACTATGTTCAGATAGTGCTGATCTGTCTCACTAACAGCCAAGAGACTGAAGCAGCATGAAGAATGAAATACACCCTGTTTTTACCTTTTTAATTATAGTTGTTTGTTTATAATTTTTTAAGTGAAGAACTTAAAAACTTTTAGCCTCTGTAGTGGTGCTTTGAAAAACAAGTTTCCTCCCAGCCTGAAACCCAGGTTAGCCTCATACCAGTAACTGGCCTTTCTCTTGTCCTCTCTTTTGTAGGCATAAAATAGTCATAGGCCCAGAATTATTTTGTCCACCAGCTGTTTGCCAAGTCTGATACTCACCTAAAAGAAAGCATGGCCAGACCAGGCAGATCAAAATAAATGCCTGTTTATCTGGAAATGATTAGGAAGAGTTTACATGAGAACTTTATGTCAATGGACTAACCATAGCAGGTGTGATTGCTGAGTTTTTTGTAAAGTAAATAACACAGCCTGCTTTAGCCTGTGTTTTCACTTTCTGTTGGACAAGACTTTGAGATTTCAGAATTTTCTTTCCAAGACGTCAAATTAAGAACTGTTTTTATTACTCAGCGGCTATATGACACATGCTTTTTAGAACTAATTTATGAGCATCGTGTGCACAATTCACATGCCTCCCTCAGTGTGACCCTTGCAGGGTTTGTTTCTGACTTATGGAGTTTAAATTATTTTGAATTAATGAGCTGGGGACATAGGAAGAAATATGTAATTAATGAAGTAGTAATATCAGTACCCCAGTTTTTAGTGACATTTATCATTACCAGATTTCTGGATTAGCTAGAAAAATGAATTTAGCTGTACATGTAGCACGTTCCTTAAACGTGACATTTTAACAGCTCTTACTAGTATGATATCATCTCTAATGTCCTTAAATTGTCACTTGGACATAGAAAGGAAAAGATCTACAGACCCATAGTTCCTCATTAAAAACCCTTAAGGCCAAATGTGTTTTAGGATTCATAATATTTTGGATTTTAGAAAAGAGATACGATCTGTGTAACTTATATTATGTAACACCCCTTGCAGACTCTGGGGCATTTTCTAAAGCAAAATATGTGTAAGTATTTACATTAAATGGGCCAAATAAAAATTATAAATAGTATCACCAGGTGAGGTGTGGTTTTGTTGTCAAAGTTTTACTAAGAAACTTTTTGAATGTTGGAACTGAGAATAAGGAATTATAGTACTGTATTAAGAAGAAGCAGTTTTCATTGGAAGCGTACTCCCTCCTTTTATTTTTTTATTTAACTCAGCAAACAGTTTGCTAGAAATTTTTCTCACAAAACTTCAGTTAACCAAATAAGAAAGAATTTGGAGCTTAGAAACCTGTCATCCATAGCAGGCAGAGGTATATCAATAGCAAATGGGCTGTAAAACCTTTGGTTTGTTTTTAAGTTTGCCTGTAGATAACCATATTCTGGCTCTGTTGTTTCATCTTATTGCTCTTTGATCTTTTTGTAGTTAAAATCATCCCTCAGTGTGTTCTTTGGTAGTGCTTGTTTTTTACAGAAATACACAGTTGATTGGCTTCATTGTTCTAGCTTGCTTTGTAATGAGCTGTGTTCATGCTATAAAGAGAGAGCTATTAATTAGCACTTTTGAAAATAATGTCCTGCCAAGAGTATCATATAGATGGTCTGATCTCAAAAGCTTCATTTTTGTAAGGTGTAGTAATTCTAGAGCAGGAAAAACCAGCACTAATTTCTGCTCTAAATTTCACCATTTTCGGGGACTATTGTAAGTAGTAAGAGTTAGAGATTTCTCTTTGCGTTTTTACCTCGAAGTACATAGTATATTGGAAAAAGTCAAAGTGGTTGCTGCTGGCGATTTTGGTTTGGCAGTGGAAAATTGATTCTGTACTCCCTAGTAGCTTAGTTTCCAGATCATTTTACATAGGAATACTGTCTGACTTAGATTTATCTTTTAGCTTTGATTTTGTAAAGCATAATTTCTGATTGCTCTTACCGGGTCATTGTATGCTCTGGTGGAAAATAGACATAACTTATAGTCACAAAGATATGTAAGATAGTATCCTTCAGCTTTCAACCTGATTAATGTGCTGTGCTTGGTTCGGCATTTGCAAAGTTCAGAATATTTTTTTGGTTGGTGAAAGCATTGTACAAGTTTTAGAAGGCTTATTTGCTTATGTGAAACTATGGCTGAATGGTGTGATAAATTTGTTTCAAAAGAAATTAGATTGCTTAAGAACTTGTAAGCAATAACCTTTGAATTTTAGAGATACTTTTAAGAATAAGAATTATAAGGGCTTTCTAAAAAAGTGGATTATAAACTGTAAGTTAGGGGAACACATTTTATATCAATAAAATCCTGCCACCCAGATAATACATTTAAGCTGTTACTACTTTGATTTCTCCCTGAAGGCCAGTGTTTGGGCATATATAGGCAGTGAAATGCTACCCTAAAAGTAGTGTTTAATGACCCTTTCTCTCTTCCGTTGAGTTTTCACCCCACCTCAAGCAGAGATTTTTCTTGAAAGAAATTAGCCAGCTCTTCACACTGAAACCTCTCTATAGTTCATTTTGCTTTGTTGCGTTTTAAATTTATTTGAGAGAACCAGGATTACCAGACTCTCAGAGAGTAGAAACAGTCTCCCCCAACACACACACACTCCCTCTCTCACTCCCCCTGGTTTTCAGAAATACAAACCTTGCATAGTTGGTTCTCTTTTCAGAGTGTCCTATGCAACACAGCTTTCCTAGTTATATAATGCACTTTTCTTACCACGCATGTAAGTGAAAGCTTACTTTAGTCTGACTTGATATTTAGAAAGGAAGATGCCAGTTGGGAAGAAGCCTGTCAGTTTGTCGAGCCTGCCCATGACAGGTGGGGTGCGGAGGAGCTTCTCTGGTGACGAAGAGTTGACTCCTCCTCAGTATCGAACCCTTCCAGCACAGACAGCCCTGGAGGCCTTCCCACCTCCCAGCACTAGCCGAGAGTTCAGTCCCAGCCTCAAACAAGGTAATTAGTCACATCAGCACCTCAGGTACTACAGAGGGTAAAAGGTAATGGGTAGGGTGGTGGGAGACTAAGCATGGTCTGGCATGACAGGTGCTGACTCATTAAATTTTTCGTTTTCTTTCAACTAAAAAATTCATTTTCATTAGTCCTTGGTAGACACTTCACTAAGACAAATCATCAGGGAAGGATTTTTATTTTGTTATGAAACATTTCTGAGCTTCAAATTAGGGTGGTTATAATTTCAATGTATGGAATCAGGAGACAACTTGTAATATTTTGTGGTTTCATTAAAATGATTGAACATTTTGCATTAGAGAATTCTGTGACTTAACCTGGGGGAGAAATGTGTCATTAGGGGTAGATCTGATTAATCAGATCCAAAAAGGAGGCTTTATTCATAGCATTCCATAGTGTCTCATTCATGGAAAGGACGTTTTGAGTTCCACTATAATTTTAGTTTTGGTAGTAACATTTACCACAATCTTAGTTGAATAACATAGATTTAGAAATATGATACCTGTACAATTTCAGCATTGAATTTGAGTGAAATTTATTTTCATAATTTCGTGTTTATGTATATATAGTGATTAATTAGGGAAGTGACATTTTTGATTTGAGTTTAATTGGTTAGGCCAAGGCAGTAGATTGTAAGGAAGACGGCAGAAGGTTTTGCGCTTTGCAGTTGCTAAGAACAAACGTGGTATCAGAAAGGCTTCACTTGCATATGATGAGCTTTAGACATGAGGACAGATGATACAGCTTCAAAGCCAAGGTTGTGTCTGCTTCGGCATATATGCTGCCATATCTTAACTATTGCTTTTAAACTAAATTAAACTCATCAACATTCTTTAAAATGTCTTTTGTGTGTTGAAAGCCTAGACAGGACTTAGTAACTACCTGTTTTCTTCTCATTCTCCTTCCGTTTGCTAATATTTTTGCACCTGCAATTCTCAGCCTTTGAGGGGGGCACATTTTAAGGTATGTTCTTTAGCTTTTGCCTCCCTCAAAGTGTATTCAGTCATCTTGCTCCTTCCCAGTCTGTTTCTCAGAAGATCACTCTGATGTTCTTACATCCCAAAGAAATTACAATGCATACTTTCTTTGCATGAAAAACAGATTAGGATTGCAAATTCAATGTTACCTGGTCTTTAATGGAAAAACCTTCAGAGTCTATCTAAAGAGCATTCCAGTTTCTTTTCTTCTTTAACTTTTTTCTTTTTGTCCTTGTTTATGAAATAGTCTTCTTTTGCCTGGTTAAGTATGGATATTGTGAGTTCTAAATATATTCGAATTTTTATTGTATTTTGGATATATTTTCTTTAAACACTAGACTGATTTTGGAGGTACGTGTCCCGTTTTGAGAGGTTCCTGATTCATGTAAGACAACCTGACTTCTGGGATGGACAGAACCCAAGAACTGAGAGTAGATGTACTAGATGGAAACAGCTTGTCCTCGATGATTTCTTCTTCCACCAGTATTTATAGTATCTTCTGAGCTGAGGCCACATCTCATGGGATTTAGTGTGATTTTACTCTGGTGTATGTAGGGACTATATTGCTACCTTAACTATCTGAAAGTTACAGTTTGATTAGCTGTTGAGATTATTATTTATGGGCTTTGTAGCTGAGAAAATGTGATTTTGTTTAGTTTATCTCCTGAAATGTTAGTGATTAGTGTCAACAGAGTGACTTCATTTCAAAAACGGGGCTAAGAAAATGCATTTGTGTAGAAAGTAACCTTCAATCACAGCATCTGTTTTATTCCATCCTTCATCCATTGAGAATAAGGTCCGGAAAGGAGAAATGATTAATTAGTGTGAAGATACCAGACAGGCTTTATTTTAGAGTCCATGAAAACAATGAAACTTTGCATTAAAGCATTCCACATCTCAGTGAATGTTTCACCTTTATCTTGAGTGACTTTTAAGCACATCATTTCCATATTTAACATGACTAGAAGCATAATCCAGAAATGTGTTGTTAGCAGTAAATGCACATAGCTTCAGGATGTGCTTTTGAATCTCAACTTACATTTCTTACATTAAAAAAAATATCTGTTTGAATGGAACATGTTTGATCTTGGAGCACGGTAATTGTTTTCTCATTCATTTAGCCATTAATCATCATATAACAAGATACCGTTTTAATCAACCTTTTATTGTGGGTACTGCACCTTTAATGAAACTCAGGTTTTGTTTTCTTTTCCATGTGTTTATTTTCATGGTATTGTTTAAATGTCCTTCACACTTAATGCATGTTGGTTAGATTTGAAGGATAATGATTATATGCTTGATACTGTTGTTCACAAAAGCATTTTTATCATACTATAATTTTTTTTTAAAGAAAGGAAGAACTGCACAGTCTCGTTTGCTTTACCTTTCAACAGTCTGATTGGTGTTTGTTTTGCTATTATTTACACAGTGTATTCACTTTTCTGTTTTTGGGCTATTAAGTTTTTGGCCACCAATACCAAAATAAGTACCAAAGTAAAATAAAATGTCATCTCTCAATAGATTATTCTTTAAATTAGTAAACAAGATGTCAGAGGCCATTATTTTTTAAACCAGTTGTTTGTAACAAAAATCAAAATGTGAAATATTTTTGTGACTGCACTATTTGACTTTAAAAGTTGTAGCCATTTTAATATTGTTCTGCCTGGTGACACTGTTACTGCTTCATGAAAGACTTTAACGGCTTACTATCCATCCAGATACTCTTGAGTCCTAATTCTCTTCATAAATTGACCTTTTTTCCCAGTATGAGCAGTTCCCAATTTATATTCCATATATATGTATCCTTTTACTCTAGTTACTAATAAAAATATACTTAACAGAGAAAAACAAAAAACTTTTCCCTTTCATTTGTAGCCAAATACCTGCAGGGGCAGGCAGTCCTACTTATGTCATGGGTAGCATGAGTGTGTTGAGCTCTGTGGCAGACGGAGATCTCAGGCTGCCCAGATACAGAGGTAGCAGCCAATCAGTTCCCACTCATCATAGCTCTTAGCTCCTTAAGGATGCTAGGCTCGTATTTTGAGATTCTTATGTGAAATCTCTTGCTTCAAAATATATACTAAAATTGGCTGGGCATGGTGGTGGCTCACACCTGTAATCCTAGCACTCTGGGAGGCCAAGGTGGGAGGATTGCTCAAGGTCAGGAGTTGGAGACCAGCCTGAGCAAGTGCGAGACCCCGTCTCTACTAAAAATAAAAAGAAATTAGCTGGACAACTAAAAATATAGAAAAAATTAGCCGGGCGTGGTAGCGCATGCCCATAGTTCCAGCTACTCTGGAGGCTGAGGCAGGAGGATTGCTTGAGCCCAGGAGTCTGAGGTTGCTGTGAGCTAGGCTGACGCCACGGCACTCTAGCCCAGACAACAGAGTGAGACTTTGTCTCAAAAAGAAAAAAAAAAAATATATATATATATATACAGTAAAGTTTATAAATAACCACAGGGCCCAGGTGGTGGGAGGGCGAGGTGGGGCAGTGGAAAGCACAGTTTGTGACTTCTGATTTAGCAGATGTGTGTGTGCTGAAGAAGTTGGGGAAGAAAGTCAGCTTTGCTCACTGTGGGATTAGATTCCTTTAGGTGCATTAGTGTAAGTGGCTACCTCACCTGTTCTTTAAATTATTTGAAACTTTAAAAACTCAGTTTAGTTAGAAAGTAACTTTTTAAGAAACCTGAACACATCTCTTGGAGGTTGGTAGTTACTGAACTAGAGTTGCTGTTTTGTTTTGGTTTGGGTTTGGGTTTTGGTTTGTTTTTTTTGAGATAGGGTCTTGCTCTGTTACCCAAGCTGGAGTGCAGGGATGCAATCAAAGCTCACTGCAGCCTCAAAGTCTTGAGCTCAAGCAATCCTCCTGTCTTAGCCTCCCAAGTAGCTGGGTCTACAGGCATGCACCATCCTACCTGGCTAATTTTTTTTTTTTTAGAGATGGGGTCTCACCATGTTGCCGAGGCTAGTCTGAAACTCCTAGTCTCATGCAATCCTCCCAGCTTGGCGTCCCAAAGTGCTGGGATTACAGGTTTGAGCCACCACACCTGGGCTGAAACTAGTTTCTAACACCTAGATGAGATCATTATGATTAGAAGAAAAAAGAAGTGAAGTAATTTTTTGAAGGCAAAAAGTTCTGTAAAAGGTAGACTAGACTAGAATCTGATGGTTTTGGGTAATTGTGTCGAGGAGCAATAACAAAGAGAGGTTTATAAAAGGAGGTAGGAACATCTCAGGGTTAACTTGGCCTAAAATTTTTGCCTAACACCAGTTTGGAGCCTACCAAAAATGAGATTTCTCCTCCTCTTCATGCTTGTTTGTGGCATTAGAAGGAGCCCTCCTATCACAAAGAATTCTGACTAGCATGACTTCTGTGGCTTCCCAGAAACCTAAGCCCCACTTAAAATATTAGAAACTGAAAAACGGTTTCCCATAGAAATAAATAAATACCTACTGAAACATGACCTATTCATAAATTGAGGACTGCCCATACTGTTGGTTTATTTTCATTAATAAGCAATCATGAGATAAGAACTCAAGCAGGCAGTAAATACTGCTATCAAGTGATCCAATTGGAAATATTAGCAGATTTGCACTGGTGATTGTCACGTTGCTGGTGTCAATAAATTTTTATTTTAGTTAAAAGAATTGCTTGATTTTTCTATGATTTTAGGTTTAATATAGGAGTTATTTTGGTTTTTGGTTTTTTTTAGAGACGAGGTCTCACTGTGTTGCCCAGTCTGGAGTGCAGTGGCTATTCACAAATGCTTTCATAGCACACTGATTGAGATTCTGTCTCAAAAAAAATAAATATATATGTAAATTAAATACTTATATAATTTGTTTATGTAACTTACAGATACTATTTTATATTATAATATTTTTATAGTATTTACTATCTGATATCTTTTTCCTTCAAGGAATCTTTTTAATAAAGATACCCCTTGGGAATAATAAGGTTATATTGAAGTTGTATTTGTTATGTTGGTACTTACTAAATATTATGCTTCAGAACCATGCAGAAAATACATCATTGTTTGTATGAACATTGACATAAAAGTGAATACTTAATCATAAGCAAAATTCTGATTGTTTTAGTTAAATTAGTGAACACTATGACCTTGAACATTTTATTGAAGATGTGAGTTGTTCAGTGTCCAATATGCCATATTCCTTTTCAGAACATTGCTTAAACTGCTGTATACTTTGAAAATTAAAATTGAATGCTCATACTTCAGGAGTTTAATTTTAAGAGTTATTGAAGAAATGAAGAAGTCTTATTAACTGTAAAGCTGATGGAACATGGAGATTAAAGGAAATCTGAATATTCCAGAAAGGCTTAATAACATTTCGTATATATTTCTTTTTCCTGCAGTGACTACGTTGCAGCTGAAGGAGGAGTTGCTGGATGGAGAGGACTATAATTTCCTCCAAGGAGCATCTGATCAGGAAAGCAATGGCTCTGCCAACTTCTACATCAAACAAGAGCCATGAATTGGCTCAGAAACTGAGGGTGGGGGAAGGATTTTACACAGGACTGATTTATAATCAATCCAGCTGTACAGTGGGGCTATTCTACTGGGACATTTTGCTAAACATAGAAAATTTCAGTTCCAGATTTTTCAGGTGGGTGGGGAAACTATTTTAGTCGGGGGGGAAATTTTTCAATTTATAAAGATGGACAATTTTTGTGTTGTATTTGAAGCTTTTGAAAGAATTTTGTAATATTTTCCAAGTTTGGATTTATGTGCATTGTTAACAAGAACTGAAATTCTAACTTTTTTGGTAAGATTAAAGTTTAGGTAGCAGGATTGAAGGAAATGATTTCAGAAGGATATAGTTGTAAATGCAAATGAACTGTCATTACAAATGAACCTTTTTGGTACCTGTTGGGAGATTTTGGGATTTTAGAAGTTAGGCCAGTCACATCTCCAGCTTCCTTTGCTGCAGAAATATGCAACTGAGCCCCTCATGGAGGGTTCATCACCACATAGATCATGGAAGGGGTAACTAATTATGCTTGTTGGCGTTTTATTGCAGCCCGTTTTAAATGTGTGTACAGAAATGTTTTTCATTCTGTGAAAATTTATTTGGAGTTCTGTATGAAACTGGAAGAACTCTGGATACTTTTATATGTTCTCTTTTAATTAAAAAATGATTAAAATTATCCTAACACTAAAGTGTTAAACTGGAATGGTTGACAAGATATGCAGGATCTCGGTCTACATGTTGAGGGGTTGGAGAAAATGCAATATTGTCTTAACTTTATTTTATTTTCCTTGCTAAAATAAGGATGCCCCACAAAAGGGATTCTGATCAGTTCTTTACCATTTCCCTCCATCTGTGAGATGATCACTTGGTATAACCACACCCAAAAACAGATGTACTGTATTACCAGGCAAATCAAATTGAAAGTTGTCCAAAGGCAAAATAAGTTTAGATTTCAAAAATCATTCCAGCTCTGCTTTTAACTATCCTGGATTTGTAAGAAAACTAATTTGAAAGAGAATTTAATTTTCTTAAAATTCCATATATATATATATTATGAATTGTCTTTAATCATATTCAGAATTTATTTTAACAGTAACCAATTTGGACCAT